TAATAGTACGATCTTGAACGCCACTTTTGCCGGGGTTGAGACAAGATATTTGTGCGCAGACAATGGGTCTGACATCAACCTGATGCCACCAGACCTGTTGGCAGCCCTCATCGAGAAACGTGCTGACATTGTCGTTAAACCGTTTAAAGCCAAGCGCAAGTTTGAGCTCGCAGCTGCCAAGTCCGAAGAAAAGGAGCCACTATATGTCGTTTGTGATAGAGAGGCCATCGTAACAACAGAGCTTCAAATCCGTCATGGCAAGGCCCTCAAGTTACGAAAGCTTTCGTGGTATGTCGCTACACACGAAGTGAACGAACCCCTTCTAGGAAGGCCTATTCTAGAGGCACTAGGCTTAAACACAAAGATATTGCTGGAGGCCGCCTGTGACAAGTTCGAGGGTTCTGTGGATGTCGATACTCTTCTTCCTTCCGAAGACTACAGTGATGGCTCAGTAGCACGAATCCTCTCGTCAGGAATTTACCACTCAAACGCGGCTACTGAGGATGACGCAGAGGCAGATTCCGCAGAGGACCATTGGCTGGACCTCGGGGAAGACACCGAACAGGAGATCCAAGAGGCATTCAACACGATATTGAAGCAAGCAGGAGAGAATGGCCTAAGTTCTGAAGGACAGATACGCCTGCGAGGTATGCTTCAAAAGAATCGCGACGTCTTTCGACTTCGTTTAGGTCCAGACCCACCTGCCGATGTTGAACCCATGAAAATTTCAGTGAAGCCGGGATATACTCCGCACATTGCCAAAGCACGTCGTTACACGGCTGAACAGAGAGAGTTCATGTCTAGCTACGTGGGTAAGCTGGCTGATCATGGATTTATCAGACCTAATAGAGACGCCAGCTGGGCAGCAGCACCGCTCCTTGTTCCCAAGCCACCACCAGCCAAATTCAGGCTCACCTTTGATCTGCGCCGTGTAAATGCAGCTACAATACCTGTGGCGTGGCCTATGCCGCACATCGAGTCGGAACTCCTCGACCCTGCAGGTAGCACGTGTTTTGCTTGCATTGACTTCTGCAGCGGATATTGGCAGTTGCCGTTAGACGAGAAGAGCCAGCAGTACCACAGCTTCTTGACACCGACTGGCATTTTTAAACCAACTAGAACTCTCCAAGGTGGGAATAACTGCATGGCAAACTTCCAGTCACGTGTCGAACCATGCTTTGCTGAACTTCGGAACTCGCTCAAGGCCTGGCTAGATGATTTCATACTCCATGCTAAGACAGAGAAGGAACTCCTTAACTCATTCGAAACCTTTTTCGAGGTTTGTGTTAAGCGCCGGCTTAAGATCTCGGCAAAGAAGAGCGTTCTATTCTCCAAAGTAATTCGATGGTGCGGAAGGATCATTGACAAGGACGGTGTCACATGCGATCCCCGCAGACTGAGTGGTCTAATGAATACACACATGCCAGTCACAGCAGCAGAGTTATCACAGTTCGTCTACTGTCTACAATGGATGTCAGGCTCTATTCCAGACTTTGCAAATCGCATTGCTCCACTACGAGCTATGCTAGAGGAAGCGTACAGTCGGTCAGGCAAACGGACTACCAAGTCTTTCCACAGCATACGTCTTGCTCAGCTGTCCTGGGGCCCTGTTCATGCTGATGCATACCTCGAACTACAAGAACAGCTCCGCAACGCCGTAAAGCTCTCACATCGCGACCCCGAGAAAACGCTCTGTGTATACACGGACGCTACTGATACTCATTGGGCCGCTGTTGTTACACAATGCCAAGTCCAAGAGCTAGACAAGAATGTCGAGGAGCAGCGACATGAGCCACTTGCCTTCCTAAGCGCTATATTCAACAGTACTCAGACGCATTGGAGTACTTTCGAGAAAGAAGCGTACGCAATCTTCCAGGCATTTGATAAGCTGGACTACATGTTTGCCGCAGAGAACGACATCCACATATTCTCTGATCACCGTAACTTGCTATTTGTGTACAATCCTACCGCAATTGAGCCAGCCCTCGGACGCCACATCCTGAACAAGGTACAACGTTGGGCTCTATACCTGTCTAGGTTCACGTATACAATAGAGCACATAGCAGGAGAACGGAATGTCATGGCAGACATAATGACAAGATGGTTTGCTGGTTATAGAGCGAAGCAACACTCCATCAAGCGCATAACCCATGAACTCATGGCGCAGGACATGGTTGGCTCACCGCAGGCCGTGGACTTTGAGTGGCCAAATGCGGACATGATCTCCAAAGCTCAAGAGGATACGATAAGTGAGAAGCCCAAGGATTCATATACTGAAGAAGATGGAATAATCCAGCTGAAAGGGAAGAATTGGATTCCGGACGATGCAGTGGAATTGCAGATGAAACTGCTGGTTGTAGCGCACTGTGGAGCAGCAGGTCACCGTGGAGCTGAGGCAACATTGAGTGCACTGAAGGAGACATTTCACTGGCGTGATATGGCTCAAGATTGCAAGGAGTTTACCAAGTGCTGCATCCACTGTCTCACTGCCAAAGGAGGACTGAAGATACCTAGACCGCTATCAATGATGCTCCATGGATCGAAGCCTAACGAAGTTATACACTTCGACTACCTCTATATGGGGCCCGGCATAGACGACCTTAAGTACATCTTGGTAATTAGAGACGATCTATCTTCATACCTCTGGCTGTGCCCAACCAAGGCAGCAAATGCGGAGAACGCCGCGACTGAGCTTGCGAGATGGATACGGGTATTCACTGTCATGCAGTACTGGGTTTCTGATCAAGCAGCCCATTTCAAGAATCAAGTCATGATGCATCTGGCAGGAGAACATCGTATTCAACACAAATTCACTGTTGCCTATTCACCATGGGTTAACGGTACTGTTGAGAACTGCATGAAGCATATCATGGGAGCCTGTCGTGCCATTCAGTCTGAGCTCAAGTTGGGTCCCCAAGACTGGCCACTAGTAGCCGGTGCTATTATGACAGCTCTAAATGAAGCACCTCTCAAGCGACTGGGTACCCAAGAAGATGGAACCTATCGTACCCCACTAGAAGTGATGACTGGTCTAAAGCCGTTGAGGACTCAGTTAGAAATCGGCGGCGTGGGAAGCAGCTCATCCAAGAAGGCCAACATAGAGCAGGCTCGTGCTTTGCAGCTGCTGAATATTGAGGACCTGCAGAAGGTTTTTGACTCGATGCACAAAAACGTGAGTGAGAGAGTAAATGCCAACCGGAAGAAGCAGATAACACAACATAACAAGAAAACAAATCTGATATCAACTCAGTTCCAAGTTAGGGACTTCGTTGTCGTTCGTCGTGCACAGATGAAGGGCCACAAGATGTCTTTCCGCTGGGTGGGGCCGCGACGTGTCACGAGAGTGTTGAGCGAAGTTGTATACGAAGTAACTGGTCTCGCAGGTAGCAAGACTGAATGTGTTCACGCTTCGAGGTTGTTACTGTATCGCACCAGACATGACGGTCAAGAGGTGTCAGAGGACCTTCTCAAGCATGCTAAGCACACTGAAACGAAATTCGATATGGTTGATCAACTATTGAACATAGGGGAAGGAGATCAAGGAATCCTTGTTCAAGTGCAGTGGCTTGGACAACCGGACAAGTGCGATTGGACGTGGCAACCGCTCGCAGAGCTCTATGAGGATGTACCTGAGCGCCTACTGGAGTTCTTTAAGATGTCAAGGAAGACGAAGCTTGTCGCAAAGGCTAAAGCAGCGTTGGGCATCACAGAGAACTAATGCACCCGTTTATCGATATCGCACACGGATTCATGGGGCCCTATAGACGTACGTGGCGACTATCGTCACAACTCGTCTTCTGTGCTGGTCGATTGTGGGAGTAGTGCTATCAATATGATATATTGATTGGTGATTCCTGCTGCATCCTTCTGAGTCAAGCTCCGTCGACTTTAGTCTTTGTCTACCGGCTGACGGGGACATACGCGCCGTGACAGCGGTGACATTAACAGGTTTTGGGGAAAACCGTAATGTTACTGAAAAGGGCTTGGCGGGGTTCAGTGCAGTGCAAAAATTGCAGATGTCCGCACTACTGCCGAAAATGTCTGCACCATAGTGCAGACAATAATCAAGCCAACAATTTTACTGTAATTACAATGGCTGACAGTCGCTGTAGCAGCCGATAGACAAGCATATTGTCGCCTCGATCCCATCGTGCAGACACGCTGTGCGTCGTGCGATATGAGGCCCTCGGCAAGCCTCGGTGCTCATATCTGCACTCGGCGCGTGTCTGCACTCGAATCGAGGCGACAACCCCTACTTGTCAACCTCCCTTATTAGTTCCTGTTATTCTTTACAAGTCCAAATTTACCTACCGCCCTACATCCCCTATAAGTAATGCCAAACTTCATTGCTAGTAAGAAAAAAACCATCATTGAACCTGTTCAACACCAAGGAGTCTACGAGGGTTTACATCATGCCTAAATATCCGCCGGGCTGGGACGTCTCTTGCGTTGACCTTAAGCGACAACCGGCTAAGGTCTTGAGGCATGACAGGTTCCGGCCAAGAGTGGATACTAAGGCGTTTCTGACTCACGCCTTGGCAGTAGATTACGGTCAGAGGGTAACTATCGGAAGGCAATGGGCTAAGTATGATACGGCTCGTAGTTTCTCTGATAGTCTAAGTCAGAGGCGTCTCTTTCCTAGTGTCCTTACGAGTCAGAACGTCGTGACAGCGTTCTCTGAGGCTGTTAACGTCTTAGTTGTCAAGGAGGAGAATCGTACAGTGATGTGCTTGGGGCTGAGCAACGGGGCAGTAGCAACAAACGTACCCACATGTCGGGCCAGGGTTTGGAAGACTCAAGATGAGATGCTATCTGCCTTCATGGCAATACAACTCAGTGTGTCGGAATATGATCGGGCGTGGCAGATTTATAGAGAGTGGAGTGAAGGTCCTGAAGACAGAGCGGTCACCAAAGTGTCCTGGTTATCTGGGACTTTGGACAATCAGTTGGCAAGTCCTTCCTCTCAACTCAAGACGGTAGCGACAATCAATGGCTTTTTCATGTCTGGGATACTAATTATCGCGGGTGCCTTCACTGTGGGGGTTATACTGGTTTTATTGTCCTACCCGAGTGCAGAACACGCCGGGTCGGGGATAAGCAAGTTGACTATTGACGGGACAAGAAGAGTATTGGCTATGTCATTGCTGACGAAGTACAACTGCGGCCTACAACCCAGAGTAGCTCCGTGTACTGTACTGATACAGACGGGGGAATGTACGGGTCACTTGGAGACTTCGTATTTGGAGGACTTGGAGCCAGTCCCCCTTGCGGCACTGGGTGGTGAAAGCAAGCTGGTGGTACTAGGGGGCGCGCCGAATCGTCCTAAAACAAGTATGTGTGGCAACTCAAACGACACGGCGGGGCCGCGGTACGTAAATTTACGTACATACAACTGGCGTACTCGTATGAGTACTCGTACGCCAGTTGTAGAGGTCCTGGGATCACAGGGAGACATCAGCAGTGGGAAGAAGGTAAGAACGGCTCTCAATATGGAATCAAGGGAACGGCATATGAAGACCTTGGGCAATGGACAGACGTTGACGAACAGAAAACGCGGTCGATTGTAAGACAAGTCAATTTGGACGGACTAGAGGAAGACGATTATGATATAGGTTTGCAATCTACGTTAGTTCGGTAGAGACCGACCTGACGGTGTTCCTGGGGGAGGCATTTGACTCGAACGAGCATCAGCGAGATGCAAAGATCGTGAGCGTTATACGAATTGGAGCTGGTCTGGCTCTCGCGGCGCGTAGTTTGGACTTGGCCGTGCGGTTGCGATATTGGGCAGTGGTACAGTAGGAGCACTGACGCCGAGCGAACTCAATCAATACCACTTGGATCAGCGTGAGCGCGGAGTGCAGAGAACGGCAACGGGTGCAGTGGCCCGCCCAGATCAAGGTAGAAACCAGAGGGTACCGGGGCAGGCGTCGACATTGGTCGGTCGTAATAAATGTTGGTTGGGAACTGGGTTTTTTTTCTGAGTGGTCCCTCGGGAGTTTTTTTCGTGTCTCTCCTCCGCGGCTTTCACCGCCGCCTCCAGAAACTTTTATTTCCCTCGGCGAACGCTTCCAGAAACGTCCAACCGTCAACCCTAAAAAAATAATATTGCATCCCAATTCAACCGTAGAATTTATTTGTAATGTTTTCAGAGAGGTGGGGTGCTCCCGCCGAATCAACGAGAGGCATGCCTGTCGGATCGAAATTGGAAGGGAGCTGTTGACAGCTGACAGCTGACAGAGTCGCGATCAGGAGAATACTGTAGGTCCTGCGCGGTCATCCGCTCCGAGACGTCTGACCCTGGCCCCGTCTCATTTTTGCCCCTGGTGTTGCGTCCATGACTCAGCTCGCCTGGTATGCCGTGTTGTAGCGCATTTTTATTCGTTTAAATATCATTGGTGCGCCACTGCCAACAGTGGACGAAGCATGATGGAATCGCTACGGGAAATACCTGTCACTGTAAGTCCAGTTATGCTTGTGACCACGTCTTTCCAAAACTTGCACGGACGTTTATAGTTTCGCCTAAAATTTCCGCAAACGTTTTGGCAATAGTTTGCCGATTCTTTTCGGTTTTGTGGAAAAGTGGCTCAGTTGGAAGATATCATTACAGCTAATCGAGCTGTTTACAAATTGCTTACGTATGTTTCTGAGTTTCGCAGAAAAAGTTGCTCAAACTTTCGGCAGCACTTTGGGAACCTTTGAAACTTCAGAAACATTCAGCAACCTTTTCAAAGATGCCGGATCGCATTACAGCTCCGATCGAGGGTGGATGGAAATATTCCATCATTGAGGCCTTGCTTGCAGGATCCAACAAGGTCCACCACCGGGACCAATGGGAGTGCCGTTTGAGGCGAATATCAGAAAAATCAATTGTCAACCAGGATTTTACGGAGCCATGAGCCCTGGTAGTTGGGACCAAAGTTGTATGGCTCTGGGTCACAGGCTCTGGTACCAGGGCCATTATTGGGACGTATTCTCCTGAATGCGACTCTGACATCAGGGAATCGCCGTGCCGCCTTCTGCGCGAAACAGCCCGGACGGAATGTGCCTGAGTACAGCCGGGCTGAAGGCCCGTCGACATCAACGCGCGAAAGGGAAGCATAAAGCGTGGATGGTCATGGATACCTGGGGCTGTGTGTTCGGAGGCCGTCGGGGAAAGGAATACTAAGGATGGCCGACGAGGAGGAAGGGGGATTGAGTAGATTCGGGTTTACGGCCGCTGCGTAGCTGGGCTATTTTAGTCTAGAGAGTGAGAAGCCTTCGGAAAGGAGGGGCATCGACCATTGGGAGTAAACGTCTGTTGAATAAAAATCATAATATTCTCCAATGTCATTTATGACCACCTTCTGTGTCCCTTTCATCATTTGCCGAGAGAGGGTCGACAGAAGCTGAGTCCGAATGAATCATGACTAGTGAGTGCATCCTTTCAACTTCACGATCCGGAACAGACTGAATTTCTTCAATGTCTTTACAATATCTTGATGCCTCGTTCAAGTTGAATTTCTCAATTCCATGAAAACCTTCAGGAATCCAACGGATAGATTTAGAGACGATGAATTTGTCTGATCCATAGCTCTCAATTTCTGGCAACATCCGTAGTACAACTTTGCTTCGCGCCCTTTTTTGCGACCTGCTGCAATGGGCGGTTTTGCTAACAACGAGTACTCTGTTGGCATGCGTGGTTGGCCTCGATGGCTGGTATAAAATGAATGACGAAGAGGAGGATTAATTAAGAACAATAAGTAAAGGGGTTCTGTCCTTATATTGAACAATTGGAGATGGAGTGCAAAGGGAATTGCAAATAGATATGATAGTCGGAGACACAGAACAAATATATGCCGAAGTGGTTTTTATTAGTTGATAAAAATAAAACTGCACAACAAAACATGTATAAATACTGCAGAGAGATAGCATCTGTGCTGGTTGCATGAGGCACGTTGAGCTAATTTGGCGTCAATTCATGACAGAGAGCAGCCTGGTAGGCGATTATTCCGAGAACTTTCATGCCCCTGTGCTACGGATAGTTTTCTAAACGTTGATGAAGAGGAATAATCCCTTTAGCTGTTGCAAGCGCTGTGAGATTGTAATGGGTCTGTCTCAGATGCGGAATGACGGACCGCAAGGACAGACTGTCCGTATCACAGTCTGTCCACAACAGTATTTAGGAGACGCGACGGCGACGACGAGTAAAGACCACCTCATGAGGATAACGATACATCACGGAACAGTACTTAAAGATGGGCTTTCTTTTCGTAGAATAACAAAACGGACATATTTGTATTACTGAACGTTAGAATTCGTTCGCAAATTTTACATTGATATTGTTTTGTGAAGGGATACAAGACAGCACATTGAACACCGTCTTTTCTCCAAAACGCAGCTATTGTGGGCTTTATAATTTCCGTACAACCAGTAATAGCAAGGGTACGCATATAGTACAGTGGTGGCAAAAACTATAGGACATTCGGGCTTCTTGGGCCCAATGGGTCCAATTATTAAGTAAACATGACATGCATTGCTGTGTATCTGGCACGTGCCGCGCTGAGTAAGAATATGAAAACAGAATAGAAAACGGGCAAGCGGTTACCAAGATATCCACCTTTACGCGACAAACACCCGGCCGGTATAGCCAATACTAATACATGTTCTTATCATAATGGTCCTGCGATATAGGCTGGCCCCCACTAGGTCCTGTTAATAGTAACGATATCCAATATTTATCTTTAGCTCACGTGCCACTTTTTGTCGCCCCCGCTATCGGTAACAGCAGTACCGTAATTAAATTCAAACTTCTCTACTGTTTGGAGTCGTCATCTTGAAATCTACGGTGAGCCCTATCTTTAGTTTCACCTCTTCCCCTCCACTCCTCTCCTCGCACAGAACTATGCCGCTTCTTGCACCTGTGCTAGGACTTTGCTAACCACCGGGGTTTGCCTTTCATCTACCAATTCAGACGCACTGTACTCAGCCGTGTTGCTCTACCTTCAACACGAATATGTTTTTAACTAACTATCCATTATACTTGTCATCACTTGTTTCCTCCGGGTTAGCGCCATCCCGAGCAACTCGCTTTCTTCTGCACAAAGTATGTCATACTAATGCTACTATTAGAGTATGTCTTTCCTTCAAGCTGTGTACTGCCTAGGATAGATAGCATTTGCTTTTTCTAGTTGCCCGTCGTTCTCTTAATCAAAAGCTTCTGGCATCGCCTATTCCTCTGGTGTTGGCCCTTCCTCTAGCGTTAGCCCTTCTTCTGGCATTGGCTCTTCCTCTGACGTGGCATCGAACTCCTCCCGTTCGATTTTGGTCCCGTCTTTTTCTTCTCTCATATCCTTCAACATGCTACCCAAAAACTCGTACAAGTCACAGTCATCCGAGAAGGCATCATTTCGGGTCGGGTAGTACCGCACATCTGGCTTAATTCCGAAGTTTTCTATTATGGCACCTTTACTCGTCCCGCTTCGGAAGAAGCGCACATATGCCATAGTGAACTCAGATTCCACCTTCTTTGTCTTTTGCGGGAATAACTCAGCAAGTTGAGAGTATCGATAAACGGAAGCGCCCCCAGCTCCAACGTTGTCCGATACACCGACTACACGCGAAAACCCATAGTCTTTTTGCAAGGACGTATACAAATCCCCGGCAGAGTAGCATATTCCATCCACCAGGGTTACCACAGGGCCAAAGTACGCCCGAGGAGCAAATCGTTCCCCGAACTCTGAAGAATATATGTCAACAGTTGGACCTGTGAACTGCTCACCAATAGCAAGTGATGTGTTTAGCGCGCGGATGACCGCGGGAAGCAGGATAAGTTCCTCCGCGGTCACATTTTTCGTGTCTGCCGACAGCAACAGGTCTTGCAGAAACTGGGACACTCGGAGTGTATTTGGGTTAGGCGGCACGGTCTCGCTTACTAGCGATTCAGCGAGCAACTTGACGTAGTCCCCATCTCCTCCTGCATTGGATCGAAGATCCATGATCAATCCGTTGAGGGGCATGAGGCGCAGGATGCGAGCAATTTCCAGAGCTAGCTCCAATGACACACTAGCTCCGAAATCTGGTATTACAAATCGACCGATCGGACCGGATTTGGTTAGAATCACTTCTGCGGTGAAGCGCTCAGTGAACTCGGATGAAACCTCGATTGGCACACGGCCGTTCTCGATGACTCGAGTAGTGATGTCTAACGGCTCTGCGGTAACTTCTTCGTACAACTTGCGCTTGTCCGCTTCGGAGAAAACCACACGATTGGGCCTTCCATGCAGTGGTTGATATGCAGCAGGATGCACTGCATGGGACATAGTGTCCGCGGCCTCTTGGGTGTAAAGTTTGGTAAAGAACCATGGGAGCGTGATCTATTTCCTGATTCCCTCTGATTTCAGATAAACTATATCGACAGTTGAACTGAAAGGAATAGGATCGAACGCTAGAGTTCGGAAGGACACCAGAAAAATGCCAGAATCGATCTGGGCTGCTAGGTTGGAGGCAGAAGAATTCTTACCGAGAGTGAGAACATACTTGTCGATGGGCACACCATCGATAAGGAGTAGCTCTGATCCGATACCAAAGGAAGAATTGGATGGTATGAGCTCTGCGAGCAAATCATTGACGATATACTGTCGTTGCCTGGATCCTTCCTCGAAAAACTTGGCGACGACGAAGCCAAGCGTGGCGACGGAAGTTCTCAACGGTTCCGGCGCGAGAAATACTGAATGATAGTCATCCATGAGTTGGAAGGCATTCATCATGTTCTCATGAAACTCGACATTGGTCAGTTCTTCGGTGATGTCAATGCTGTCCAGCGCGGCCGGAAAATCGATCTTGAGGAGGTTTTCATGTAGAAATCGGTGCGGGTTGACGTCCATGTAGATGGTTTTGACAGCGTCGATAACGTCGCGTTTGGCAGCGACGGAAAGTTTGTCAGCGTTAGCTTCCTCGATCAATTCGGACAAGGAGACAAACAACGGGGCGTCTTCGTCGTCGTGATCGTCGTCGTCGGTAATGTGACGAGCTGGATGCGGAATGGTGAAGCACACGCGATGGCGTGGGGCACATAAGCCTAGAAGTTTGGGATCATCAGTTGTGCAGTGCTTGCTGTGCTGGCAGCGGATGGAATGTGCAACACGGAAGGGTAAGAGAGTTACAAGGATAGGGAAAGTGGCACAACGGGCTACCATGATGAGATGGTTGTGTAAGAACGCTAATGCGGTAAAACAGATAGCTTAAAGAGAGCACATCTTGGCTTATAAACACGGCGACGGATATGGTCTTATGTTTTTGAAGGCGATGATTCCGCACCTTCCAGTATTTCAAGCACTGCAATCTGTTGATGTGCAAGGCATTGAGGAGGATGCCTAGGGCTGCCGAGATTGTTGCCCCGTTGCAACTAACGTCACGGTGATATCTGACAACTTCTACTTTGCAACTTTTCTAAAAGTACTCTAAAGAATATTCTAAAGTATCCCTGTTGTCCCTAATCACGCACTCTACTGTCCAGCAGTTTGTTCTCGATATCAGAGATACGGATGCTCGTAGTTATGAAAAGGGATGGCCAAATCTTTGTGGCGGAGAAGGACTCAACATACGCAACCATTGCCCTAACCTTTTCAATCTTCGTGCTCAAGGCTTTCTTGCCGTAATCATGTGTATTATCTCTTCTTGTGCTGCCGTACAATGTATTCATCTCGAGACACATAAACTATTTTTCTAACAAAAAATAGGATTATCAGTGTCGGCATGTGTCCCGGTTGGGAGGTGGAAAGGGATATGTGCTTGGAGCTGAACTGACAGAAAGGAGTAATTGCGTCATAAGGAAGCTTTTTTGTGAGATCGTGGAAGTGGGGGCTTCCGAAACCCCCAAAAAATATGCGGCTGCTCGTGGATTTGATGTGTCACGACAATTCGAACAATATTTATGCTTTTCATTCTCAACCTGAGACACTATAGAGAAACAGGTGCACAAGATATCTCATAACTTGGTGAGTCTCTCCCTCTTTGCAGCACTTGAACCCATAAGGATTCGAAAGCAACTGGGGTGTGCGTCTATGACGGACGTTTTTGGCAAAATGAAGACATTGGATTTGGAGGATTGATCTGTACTTGCCTGCTGTTGGTCGGTAACAATTAAATTAAGTTTAGACCGCAGAGAGGTGAGTGGGCATCAAAAGATTCTTGAAGGCGATTGCGCGGTAGTCTGGACAGCTGCATTGCTGGTGCGTCGGGGGGCGTGGAGATCTCAAACAAGTTTCGAGAAAACATAAATTCTTGTGGACCTGAGCGAATTCTTGGCGGATTTTCATGTGCACATCGTTGCCTCGTCATGTCAGTCCGTTTGCACGAAATGCATGCGTAAGTACGGTACCGCCAATAATTATAGCCGCACCCCACAAATATGCATTGCTGGTAAAGGAATCTTACTTTGCATAAAAAACTGCTTTGTCCTTGACGCATTCCTGCACGCCGAGTCCAAAACAATGCTCAGATTTTGGAACGCATCAATAGTTTGGAAGATATGCATCAAAAACCATTTATGGGGTGACAGTAATTATAGAGTACAGTGCTTCTAAACAACCATAACTCTGGTTCAGTACTTCGTAGGGCCACCCTTGGCCATCGCACAGTAAAAGCAACGTTTCTGCATGCTCCCTAATAACTTATCCAACGTCTCAGTGTTGATATTTTCCCAGCAGTCCATTATACATTCGAGTAGCTCATCGATATTATTAAACTGCCTTTCATGTGCGTACACTTTCCTTGCCAAGATCTCCCAAAGATTTTCTATAGGGTTGAGGTCAGGGGACTTGGCAGGCCAGTCCATAACGTGCACTTCCTCCTCTTCAAACCATTCGTAAACGCAATTAGCACGGTGTACAGCTGCACCATCTTGCATAAACGTCCAGCTAGAACCGAGCTCTTGATCAACAAAAGGAAGGAGATTAGTCTCGAGAGTCTGAATATACTTGAGCGCATTCTGCTTCCCTTCTAAAACGACCAAGTCACACTTCTTTTTCCCAGCAAACGCACCCCAAACCATCACCCAATCACCCCCTTGCTGCTGCGTTGAAAACCCCTTTCTATCCTTTCGTAAGTCATGCCAATGAAACGCGAAGCCGTCTGGTCCGTCGAGATTAAACTTCTTCTCGTCAGACCAGACTACATTTGCCCAATCACCAGGCATCCAGGTCACCTTATCTCGAGCCCAACTTTCTCGCGCGATTTTGTGGCGCGAAAGCATCATCGGTGCGCGTGCTATGCGCATATACCGAAGGGTAGGAGTGCTGCTGAGTATTGCACGCACGCCGCTGGACTTAACAGGGAGCTGGAGTGTCTTGACAAGTTCTGTTGATGTCATCTCTCCCTTGTGTGCCTCTCGGATCAGCGCCCTTTTTGCCTGCGCAGACAGCTTAGGCTTCCTCCCGCTCCTTTTTTTGTTCCGTAGAGCTCGGGGGCTTTCAAGTAGTTAGCTACTACTTTTTGCGGACCTGCCTAGATGCTTGGCAATGCGGCGTATCGACCACTGAGCATCATGCAGGCCCGCACTTTTTCCTTTTTCTTCAGCCGTTAAGGATTTACCGCGCGGCATAATTGGGGGGTCTGTTAGGTACTTTTTTACACGGAAGGCTGCTTGTGTTGAAGCGTATTGTATTGGGCTTTTAACGCGCTAAAGAACGCGGCAAGGAGTCTTTCGGTTGCCGAGTTCTTGGCGCGAGAATGTACTGTACTCTATACTTAATGTCACCCCATGAATACACATGTATTAATATCTGCAAAAGTATTTATGCTTTGCAAAATCTGATTGCAGATTCGGACTCAGCACGCATTGTTTTATCAAGAATGTTGTTGTTTTTATGCAACGTGTGCTGCGTGCCACAGCACGGCACAACTTGGGGGTGCGGCTATAAATAATGGCGGTCCTGTATGTCCGGCCAAAGCACCATGAAGTTGGTGTACATGTTCTCTTTCCAGGCTGTGGAGGATTGTTGTCATGATTCCCATGTACACCTGTCACACGAACACACGCACGCCAGGTGTCCACCCTAGAGACGGCGCCTCCGCCGCCGTCCTTCTTAGTGCACCGACCTCTAGCCTCAGAAAACATTGGACCATCGTTCCTTGCACCACAGGTTATGGTCCCGAATCGCAAACCCACCCTGCAACACGATCGCAGACCGCCCCTTCGAAGATCACAACGTCACTCACCCGGCGTCACAACCCCTGCACCACGCGGCAACACCCCCGCCAGCCTGCAGTACACCCCTCCACCAACTAACTCTGCCTCCGCATCGCTCCCCCTCGTCGAGCGTCACACCGCAGATCGTCCCAACCCAGTCCTGCCAGTCCCGCCTCCGTCACCACACGTCGAGCGCCGCCTCGCAGCACTTACCACCCCCCACACTTCCCCATCCCCGCACCGCACCACCCCCGCGAGCCCCACCACGCAACCCTCTCTCACACCACCGCCGTCCCCCCCCCACCCATCCCATGGATCCACACGAGGAAACCGCCACTCCCAATCGGCGCCCCTCCCCCTTCTACGGACACCTACCCGTACTCCTCCCAGAAGGAACCAACTTTCCCATATGGAGACAAGCACTTCGAGACATCGCCGTTATCAATGACGCGCAACATGCGCTTGATCCCTCACACACACCCCCACAGGACCCTGCACAACAGGCCAAGCACACAAAGGACTGCGCCTCAATGCGTATGTTGATTACGAACAGTCTCTCACAGGACCTAGCGGAAACAACCGACCTAACCTTCGACGCTTCACCAGCCGAGCTACTGTCAAAAATCGAAACCCACTTTACGGACAGCTCCCCTACAACTCATCTACTCCTAAGGCAGGAAGCCGACCGCCTTCGCCTCACCACCGACACCACAGTCGACGAGTACATAAAAAGACACAGAACGCTACGTATGCGTATGCGTCTAGCAAAATACCCAAACATATCTGCCGACGAAACAGTAACCGTCGATGCCATTATCAAAGGCCTAGAACACCATAACGCCTTCAAACATTTACCCGACACATGGGCTGAGAACGCGTCCGTCCCGACCTCAATCCAGGCGATCCAACAACGCGTCAACTCAGTACAAGCCCGAACAGCAGCCCGGCAAGACAACAAACTACTCGCCCCCCAAGGCCTTAGGACCCCCGATCCCCGCCCGACCAAGCGTGAACCCCAAACTCGCCCACGAGGGCGGAACAGGGGACGCCCATACCCCCGGGGACAGTGGTACAACACGCAATACACACCCCAAATGCGACCCCCAACTCCGTACCAAATACAGACACCCCAACACTGGCAAACACCCCCGCCCTGGCCAATGCAGCCCGCCCCTGTCGTAGCACCAACGAAACGTCTCCCAACACGCCGCACAACCAAAACCCAACATGCAGCGGCGGGCAGTACCAATGCCCTCTCCAATGAGCTACAAGCTTTTCAGTCCGAAATACAGACAGATTCCGACGGTATGAAATATATCCTTGATTCCGGAGCCAACCCAACACACGTGACAAATGCCGCCCCCGGAATGCGCCCCCTGCCCAGACGCATCATAACTAACACCGCGACATCATTCACCTCGTCCGCGACTCACTCGGGTCCCCTACAGATCCCGACGAACAAGAATAAGACCCTCACCTTGACCGCCATTGCAAATCCCGCCATACGCCAAAACCTGTTATCCGTCCATGACATTGCAACACGGTACGGAGCTGTCATCTTCAGACCTTATGACGCCGCCATCCTAGCAACCAACACGAAGCCCCCACAGATTATTGCCACAGCCTCAGTTAAAAAAGGACTGTACGTCCTCCGCCCACCAAACCACCCCCTTAACCATGCGCATGCTACACGTACAGCCCGGAAGACACACACCCCACAAAAAAACCACGGCCTCCCGTCGTCGAGCCCCCATCTCAACCACAATTCCCACCCCTCCCCGCCCTGCACCAGCAGCACCCCCACTGCCGACCCCCACAAGGCAACCCACCCCCATGCACACCATGCACAACCCCGCCCCGCTGCCGCCCACCCCCCGTGGCGCTGCCCTGGATCATGCCTTCCACCACTGGCACATGATCCTAAACCATGTCCGCCCTGCCACTATACAAACCATGGCACTGAAGGGCCTCCTGCCAAACATACCACCTTCCCTGGCGAGATATGCACCCAAGATCACGTGCCCCAGCTGCGCACACGCAAAACAAAGGCTCCGCCCCCACAAACCCACGGTCCATACATACCCCGCTGGCTTCTCCCTCAGCAGCGATATATACGGACCCATTGCCCCCACGTCCCGCCAAGGAAACAAGTATGTTCTAACAGTACTCGGCACAACCACACGGTACTTTATTACCGACTTTATGCCCTCCCGAGCACAAACCCCGCAACGCCTCGACTATATCCTAACCACTATCAAGGAGAACACAGGACATTCACCACGAGTCCTCCGCACAGATAACGCACTAGAATATATGTCAGCAACTGCCATACAGACATACCACAACCAGCGCACACGGCATTCCACCACCATCCCCTATACCCCTCAAGAGAACAGCCTTGCCGAAAGGATAAACAGCACGCTTCTCAACGCGGCACGGGCTGCACTTCACCACAGTGGCCTCGGCCACCACCACTGGGAAGACGCGATCAGAGATGCGACATTTAAATATAATCACACAATGCACCACGGCACCAAAGAACTCCCCACCACTAAATGGCACAACGCAACCCCCACCATCTCCCAATTCCACATATTCGGCCAGCTGGGCACCACACCCGACCCGCGACAACGTGCAACAATTCCGAAGCTACAATCAAGATCACGTACAGTACGGTACCTGCACCCCCATGACGACACACACATCACCGTCATAGACGCCGCCACCTCAAAAAACCATCGTATACGAACAGTGGACTTCCACCCCTACCATGCCTCGCGAGATCCAACGGCAACCACCGTAGCTGCGTTCAAGGCCTTTACCCCGCATAAGACGCCAATGAACATCTCTATATCAACACCTGCCCCCCTCAACCGAGAACAGGCCAAGAAATATCCTGACGCACCACTCTGGGCAGAGGCCCACGATAAAGAACTTGACGCACTCGACAAAAAGAAGGTAATCAAATGGACCCCCAACAAGCACCTCCCGCCCAAAACACGCCTCATCCCCCTCACCATGGGATATCGCTATAAGTGCGACGAAAACGGCGACATCGTCAAACGCAAAGCACGATGTGCTGCACGCGGGGACACCACGCTCCCCCACGTCCATTACGACCCCAACCGTACCACGACCTACATGGCCGATAAGTCCTCCGTGCGCCTCTTATTTGCAATGGCCGCAGCACACAAGCTACACATGGAGCATATAGATATCGAAGCTGCCTACCTACACGAAAAATTCCACCACAGTGGAAAACAGCCAGTGTATGTACGCCAACACCCCCGTTTTGACGGGACATACAAACATCCCTGCAAAGGAGGCAAGCTCCTCCAAAACCTTTACGGCACACCACAAGCAGGCTACACGTATCTCACTGCCGTCTTCGCCCTCCTCCACCGTCACGGATTTCGCTACTCAGAAGCCGACACATGCCTGTTCCACAAAATATCCCGCAACGCGGCAACCTTTGTGGCCATAAGCATGGACGACTTCACGATTGCAGCCACCTCCACTAAGCTCCTCAACGACTTCGCAAAAATACTCGCAACGGCGTACACCATAAAACGCCTAGGAGAACCCAAGACGCTGCTCGGATAGACTGTACACAAATCTCGCGACGGCGCCCGCCACATCTCCCAGCCCACCGCTATAGCAACCATCCTCCGTAAATGCGAGATGCACGTCGCAAACAGCAAGCCAACTCCGTACCAAGACGGAATTCGACTGCACGGCCCCACCCCCGAGGACGAACCCCTGAACAAGCAGGCCAAAGAGTACCAACAAATAGTTGGTGATCTGCGCTACATCGCAGACTCGACCCGTCCTGACATTTATTTTGTTGTGAATCGTCTCTCAGTCGCCTCTAAGGCTCCTACACAGCGCCATTGGAATGCCTTGAAGCGCGTTCTGCGCTACCTTCGACACACGCCCAATCACGGGCTATTCTTTCCCGCCGCGCAGCACAAGCTGCACCCCAACACACCCGCCCCAAACCCCATTTC